AAAAAAAAAAAAAAAATACCGCCAGTCAAGCGTATTATTCGCTGCGGGCCCAGATATTGTCTCAACAGCTGCATAATTCACCTCCTTACCTTTTTTCCAGAGGTGGCTGGTGACCATTCGCTCGGATGTCTTTTCATTAGGCAGCGGGTTGTTATTCTGCACGTCCACAACATTTCCCCTTTTGTTCCAGTCGCTGTTAGGTGGTGTTTTGCACGCATTTCGAAGGCTTGCCCTGTTTTTCACGCCAATAAGCCAGTTTGAGTAGTGCATCATTAGTGCACATTAAATCCCAACGAGCCTACCATGAGCTTAATACTTATCTGGCAAACCAAACAGTGCCTTCAGGAGCACAGCGGCCGCTCCACCGCATTCATGTCATAGCATTAAGGTTACCAGGCACCAGAACACACACATACACACACAATCACACACACAATCACACACAATCAATGCGTTCTACAGTGGAAGGCGTGGACCTGCGCCTTTTTGCTCCACGTCGGCTGCCGTGGGAAAAACAGTATGCGCGCATGTGCAGAAGTCTCCTGCATGTTTCCCTTTGCTGGTGCTGCGTTAGAAATGTGAATTATATGCCTCCGTTTTTACTTTTCCTTTTCTAACTGGAGTCAGCTGCGCCGTTGCCATGAAAACAAGGTTCACCACCGTGGATATCAGGGCAGTTATTGCCGAGATCAATGCCAAGTAGGTGATATGTGTCATTGCCTCCAGCTCGGTTGCTAAGCTAACTGTTACCATCGTTAATGTTGATTTGTCTGCAGATGTTGCTCATTCATTCCCTTTGCCTCGATCTTTTCCAGCTACATTGGCATGAGAGTCAACAACGTGTATGACATCGACAATAAGACGTATCTCATCCGGCTACAGAAGTAAGGACAGTTTGAAAACTTCCCAAGTTTCACTGTAATGGTGTTTCATATGGCATGAAGCACTACTATCATATGAAAATACTCCATTAGCTACAAATAACAGCCATGCATTCATACTTGTGATTATAATTAATTATAGGTAAGTAAGCATTAGGTTCCTACTAATGTGATTTTTAAAAAAGTAGGCACTATGCAGCAGTGTCTTAAATTATTATTATTATTTGAGGATTGATTTATTTCATGATTATTACTGATGCGTTTATATCTAAGCTGCATTTTAGTTAAATGTAGACATTTGGGTAGTTTAATATATAATAATTCATTATCATTTATCAGCTGGCCATATGTTTTGTGTGTAAAATATACATCTGCAAAGTGTCTGTGATGTGATAGCTGTCAAATACATAAAGAAATATAAATTCACTTCACAAGTCCAAGTACTTCAATTTGAGTAAACGTCGTTTCTATACCACTTTCAGTCGGTGTGTAGTGTAACTCAGTGTCGCATTGTTGTCTCAGGCCTGACAGCAAAGCGGTCCTCCTGGTTGAGTCTGGGACTCGTATTCATTCCACAGACTTCGAATGGCCCAAGAACATGATGCCTTCGGGCTTTGCAATGAAAGTAAGAACAGCTTTGTTTTTTATAATGTATGTTTTGTATAATTTTAACCATAATGTATTTTGAATTTCACACACAATTCCATATAAAACCTTGTCCCCGTGAACTCCATTGTGAAGAACATAAACCAGACAGATTTGACATGTGACATGGTTTTTCTATCCCTAAACAGATTTGATATTTATGTCAGCATATTTTCCTTTTTTACTGAAATCCTTTATCAGATCTGTTGCTGTATATTTATGGATTATTTGTGATGAAACTGACTGTTTAAAACAACTTTCTCCGTAGTGTCGAAAACACCTCAAGAGTCGGCGGTTGACCCAGGTTAAGCAGCTCGGGATTGACAGGATTGTTGACATCCAGTTTGGCTCAGACGAGGCTGCCTACCACTTGATTATTGAACTGTACGACAGGGTGAGGAAACATTGTGAGACGTCTGTATCAGACAACATCCCGTGCTGTTCAGATCATATCAGCTCTGATCCTAACCATGATATTGATTCACACCTATGTGTTTGTGTATGTGTGTATTTGTTGCTCCGTCCATATCCATCTTCAGGGTAACATCATTCTTGCAGACCATGAGTACACCATCCTGAATCTCCTGCGGTTTCGTACAGCAGAGGCAGAGGATGTTAAGATCGCTGTGAGAGAGCGGTACCACGTGGAGAGCGCCCGACCTCCTGAACCTCTCATGAGTTTAGAGCGGTAAACACGTCTTTACATGTGCTTGTTAACGTTGTGGGCCAAATGGACTTCCAAACTAATTAAAAACTAATTATCTTATTTTACTTTTCTTATGTAGACTCACTGAAATCATCAGCAAAGCACAAAACGGGGATCAAGTGAAAAGGGTCCTGAATCCTCACCTCCGTATGTAGCTAAAAAACACATGAATTTATCTTCTGTTTAATTATCTTAATCTTCTTTTTATGATTTAACATATTTTGTGTCCTTCTCTCTAGCCTATGGAGCCACTCTGATAGAACACAGTTTGATAGAGGCAGGACTGTCTGGCTCTGTCAAAGTTGACTGCCAAGTTGATGCTGCCCAAGGTATAGTAGAGCAGTTGAAGTAAAGGTTGTTGGCATATGGTTGATAGCATTAACAGACCAGTGGAAATAGTGGCTCCTGTTTTAGATTTCAGTTTTTATTCATAATGTTTTTTTGGTAGATTTGTAAATACAGTATTTGATCTGGCTGCTTTTTCAGTTGCTCCTAAAATCCTGGAAGCCCTGCAGATTGCAGAAACATATATGGAAAAGACAGAGAACTTCAGTGGCAAAGTAAGAGACTTATTTATCCTTTATTTTATTTTGAGGGAAAGTCCTTTGGATCCTGTAATATATGTTACAGGGATGGGCAAAATGGATTTTTTTTCAGCTGATACGAACCAATTATTACTGCTTGTCTCTCATGGCTGATATTGATAAGATAACCGATAATTTAACATTTTTCTATTAAGAAGTTCATAACCTGTAGTTTTTACACACTTGATGGCAAGAAAGGCTAAAATGTAGTTAATATTCCATAACTCTGACCTAACCACATATAACATATGACATCACTATTGTTAACACAACAACAAACAACAGTTCTGACAGACTGACATTTATTTAATTATCATGCGTCCCTACTATGTTATATTCACAAACTGCTTTTTTTAATTCAAGGGCTACATCATTCAAAAGAGTGAGAAGAAACCAAGCTTAACTCCTGGCAAACCCAGCGAAGAACTGCTCACGTATGTCCTGTTTTTTTTAATGTTTTTAATGTTTGATTTGTTACAGGAGAATATTACATAACTTATTTTATATTATTGATATTATGGTGTAATGGTGTCTCCTTACAGATATGATGAGTTCCACCCATTCCTCTTTGCCCAGCATGTAAAGAGCCCCTATTTGGAATTTGACACTTTTGACAAGGTAAACATTAGGCCGCTTATTTATCTTTATTTTATGATGATTATTTCTCTGTTATAATGTGAATTCACACTTATTTCAAGAATGAAAGATATGAAGTCCAATGTCATTCTCTCACTCAGGCAGTGGATGAGTTCTTTTCTAAGATGGAAAGTCAGAAGATTGACATGAAGGCCTTACAGCAGGAGAAACAGGCTATGAAGAAGTTGGAAAATGTTAAGAGGGACCACGAGCAGAGACTGGAAGCCTTGCACCAAGCACAGGTCAGCATCACTAGCACCTTTTAGCTTTGTCTGCTGTAACCACGGCACATAATGCTTTCCCATACTTTTAATTAACTGACATTTAAAATCCAATTCATCACGATATTGGTGAAATACATATACAAGGAATCTTGCATCGTGTGTTGCAGGAGGTGGACCGAATAAAGGGTGAACTGGTGGAGATGAACCTGTCGGTGGTAGAGAGGGCACTGCAGGTAGTGCGCAGTGCACTGGCCAATCAGGTGGACTGGACTGAGATTGGCATTATCGTCAAAGACGCACAAGCTGCTGGGGATCCTGTGGCCTGCGCCATCAAGGAACTGAAGCTGCAGACCAACCACATCACCATGCTTTTAAAGTGAGACCCGCACTCAGAGAAACATGACCTGTCTGCTCATTGTTACACCATTTGGCTCATGTGTGTCTTTTTTTCCTCCAGGAATCCATATATTTCTGAAGAAGACCAGGAAGAGGAAGAGAAAAAAGATGTGGTTGAGGAGAAAGGGAAAAAAAACAAAAATAAAGACAAAGGACAGAACAAGAAGTTGCAAAGGAACAAGCCCATGTTAGTGGATGTGGATCTTGGCCTGTCGGCTTATGCCAATGCCAAAAAGTAAGTGTCCCTGTACATACATACATTTACAATTAGATATAGAATTGAGCATTATGTGGGGAAAGCCACATGTGTTGTTTTTTACAGCAGTGTCCGTGTTGTTTTTTACAGCAGTGTCCTTGTGGTTTTTCTAGGTACTACGACTTCAAACGCAGTGCTGAGAAGAAGGAACATAAAACCATTGAAGCAGCAGATAAGGTAAGAATGCTGTTACACTTTACCCTCAGGTTTACAGGACCAGTCTGTAGGATTTAGCAGCAGCTAGGGGTCAAATGGAAGATTACAAAACACAATGATACTTATTTTCAGATAATTATACACTAATGAAAACATACCTATAAATATTATATTACATTTCTGCCTAAATGTTACACACTGGACCTTTTTAGGGCAAGAATATTTTTAAGGAAAAGAGGTGGTCATCACTCTTTTGTATACTGGTAAATGTTCTTCTTTTTCAATGTCATCCAAGGCTATGAAATCTGCAGAGAAAAAAACACAGAAAACACTAAAAGAGGTTCAGACTGTGGTCACAATTCAGAAGGCCAGGAAGGTCTACTGGTAAGACGCACACTACCGTATAATGTATCTATACATATTCAGAGTTTGATTCAGTATTTTGACCATTTCTTCCCTTTTGGCAGGTTTGAGAAGTTCTTATGGTTCATCAGCTCAGAGAATTATCTCGTCATTGCAGGAAGGGATCAGCAGCAGAACGAGATGATCGTCAAACGCTACCTCCGTGCAGGTAATGAACGAACATCTACACACGCTCTTACCTTTTTAAATAAGTAAAAACCTTCAAAACTGAGCTGGTTTATGCCCCTCATGTGTGTACCTTTTACTTTGTCAGGTGATATCTATGTCCATGCTGATCTTCACGGAGCCACGAGCTGTGTCATCAAAAACCCCTCAGGTAAACCATGTGGCTTCTCAGTCTCTCTCTGCTTATAAACTTTAATCAGTTCGTGAAGATGCTTGATATTAAATTTTCACTCATTTGTATGCATTTCTTTGGCCTTCTGCTCCAGGTGACCCCATCTCTCCTCGTACCCTGACGGAAGCGGGCACTATGTCTGTGTGCTACAGCGCTGCTTGGGATGCCAAGATCATCACCAGCGCTTGGTGGGTTCATCATCATCAGGTAAGTCTTCTGTCTTGTCTATTATTATATTTCTGTCTGTAACAATTTACTTCTCAGACACATTATAATGAGACAAAATGTTTACATGTTTAGTGCACTTCCTTCCTCCTCAAGCCATTTTTTCAAATATTTTATGCATTGTCTAAATTCCATTAAATTGTGGCATTATTTGTTATTTATCAGCTGTGTATATCTTTTATCTTTGGTCAGGTATCTAAGACAGCTCCCACCGGAGAGTACCTGACCACTGGAAGTTTCATGATTAGAGGTATGACACAAAAACCTAAGCTGAATACATTTTGTAATATGAGAAGTGTTAGATACTGTTATGTCTGACAGAGGACCTAATGTCTGATACATTTCTCTTCAGGAAAGAAAAACTTTCTGCCACCTTCTTACTTGATCATGGGCTTTGGATTCCTCTTCAAGGTAAATTACTATCACAAGCACATTTTAACTCTTCTCTCATCTTCAAACAACAAAAGAGTTTCATGCTTGTCTCTGTGCAGGTGGATGAGCAGAGCGTGCATCTGCACCGAGGGGAGAGAAAGGTGAAGACCGTAGAGGAAGACATGGAAGAAGTCACGTCCAGAACTGCTGAGCTGCTGGAGGAGGGAGAAGAGCTGATAGGTAGCGGAAATAAAAAAATTATTGACTTCATTTACTGTGTATGTAACAACCACATTCAGGTGTCGTAACTTGATTCTGTCACCTGTTGCAGGTGATGACAGCAGTAATGAAGACCAGAGTGAGGAAAGAGCGGGAGGAGATGGAGAGATGGAAAAGAAGATTAAAAAGGTGGCCAAGGAGGGTGATGGTGCGAGTGGAGAACTGGCCGCTGTTCCTGAGGAGGACAACATGGAGGCCGAGGAAGAGGAGGGGAGAGAGGAAGACAGCGAGGAGGAAGAGGGGATGAAGAATGAAGAGAGTGAAGAGTTCAGCTTTCCGGATACGACCATCTCCCTCTCTCATTTACAGCCCAGCAGGTAGTGTTACCGCTGCTGCTACTTCAAGCAAACACTATCATTACACATGATAATGAATTAATTACATTTTCTGTCCTTATACCTAGGAGTGCTCAAAACCCTGGTTTCAAAAAGGAAGTGACCACTCAGGTAATTAGTTACCATCTCAGGCTCTAACATCCTAGATACAGCAATTTCAAGTAAAATGTACTAATGTTAATTTATTAATTTCTCCTCAGGTTGAAGTAGACTCACAGGCAAAGAAACACATGACTGCCAAGCAGAGAAGGTGAATGAATGGAATGAAATACAACAGCTTACAGTTGTACTTCTTCCTGTTAAGCTACAGAGGACTTCAGTAACAGTTAGTGTTGAGGCATTTGGTCGGTTTAGCAAAAAAACAAAAACGGAGGACATCTTTCTTTACTTAACAAGCTGACGCATGCAGAGGACTGTATACACATTTCAGATGGGCCAGTCATTTTATTGAATCCTCAGGTGTTGTCTGTCTTTGCCATTAGAGAAGAGAAGAAGAAGAAGCAGAAACAGGAAGGGTGTGACACTGAGGAGAAGACGGAGATTTCATCCAGTGGATCGATGGTCGATCAGGGGTCCAAAGGTGGAGGAGGCTCCTCCCAGCAGCCACTGAAGAGAGGTCAAAAGGTAAGTAAGGAGTGTGAAGATAAGATGTTCTCTAATACTGCCTTCAGCAATACATGGAAACAAATCGTTCCAAATGGAGCAAAAGGAGACACAAATAAAATGGCCAAAACATGCAGAAAAAAGAATTAAGACTTAGTGAACCATAGTAAATTTACAGGGGATTAGGAGGCAAACAACATCAGTATAATTATTAAAAGCATCAGCAGCTAAAGGAAGGCTGTCATTTTTTTATCACAAATCACTAAATCGATGTATAATGCTGCAACAAAACACAACAGCAACCGAAATAACATCTCGGGTAAAGTCAGCAGTTTGTGTAATGAATATATTTAATCGATCAGTCTTGGAACGTTAACTGATCTGATACTTCAATCTGTGTTTGTTTCTTTCTGTGCCTGTCTCTTCCCTGTTGTCACTCCAGAACAAGTTAAAAAAGATAAAAGAGAAGTACAAAGACCAGGATGAAGAGGACAGGGAGCTGATGATGCAGCTGCTCGGGGTGAGGAGGAATAACAGCGACCTTCAACACACTTTGCACACGTTGCTAATGTACCGTACAGTGCCATCACGCCATCTGCAAAACATTAAGTGGAAACTGCAGCTCAGGTCTACTCAGTCCTTGACACTGATACAATAAATAACAGTATGGTCGCTTTTCTTCTTTCAGTCAGCTGGTTCCACCAAAGAAGAGAAGGATAAAGGGAAGAAAGGAAAGAAGGGCAAGGGGAAAGACGAGCCCATCAGGAAACCAGTCTCTCAGAAACCACCCCAGAAACCTCGTAATGTGGAGACTGCCGCAAAGAAACCAGAGCAGACAGAAGGAGGAGGAGGAGGAGGAAGAGAGGATACTGAGGAGAGACAGCCTGGAGAGGAGGGAGGTCCTGCTGAACCGGAGGAAAAGGTGCATGATCCAATAGCAGAGTCTGAAATGTATATGGATGCACGATATGGATCTTTTTTTATCTGATACGATAACTGATAATGACCTGCTTCTCATGGGTGATATCGAAAAGATAACCTGTAATTTCATATTGTTGTATTTTATAAAGAAGTTCATTATGAATTGTAGTTTTTACACACCTAGGGGCAAGAAAGTCTAAGATGTAATGAGATCAAAGATGGATGGTTTAATATTGTATTGTACATGTATTGACCTATCCATATCTGACCCAACCAAATCTAACATCCTTATTATTATATATTATTATTATTATGGACCAATAATCTATCAACTGTAATTTAATTATTGTAATAATTCATAATATAGGTGACGTTAACACATCTTGAAAAAAACTGTGAATAAATACTTACATACATGTTTATTCACCATCAGCGTTGTCCTCTTTTTCAGGAAGATGATGTGGACCAGGACAACCCCGGAGCAGAGGTAAGTTATTCATGTGTTTTGTAATAAAAGGAAATTATTACTATTATCATTATTCTCTTTGGTATATTTTTTTAATGTTTTAGGGATTAATTATCATCATATCATCATTTATTTTAAGCCATGCATATGTTAACTGTTGCATCAGTCTAACTTTATTTTCCCTGTGTGCCTCAGGAAGCACAGAATCTGCTCACCTCCCTGACAGGCCAGCCTCATCCTGAAGATGTGCTGTTGTTTGCTGTGCCAGTCTGTGCTCCATACACCGCCCTCTCCAACTACAAGTACGCGCAGTTAACCTTTTTGTTGTGTGTGGTACAGTAAGAGACGGTGAAGAGTGCAGGGGCTAAATGTCATTTGTTTTCCACAGACACAAGGTGAAGTTGACACCAGGTGCTCAGAAAAAAGGAAAAGGTAAGAATAGTGATGTATTCTAATATTCATAATGTTTTTACAGTGCATTTGGATTGACAGTAATGTAAAAAAAATAAATAATGTGTGTGTGTCCCTACCAGCTGCACGGACTGCAGTTTTCAGCTTTATGAAAGCCAAAGAAGCGTCAACCAGAGAAAAAGACCTGTTCCGCAGTGTCAAGGTAAAGAAGTTAACTACATCTTGGTTATCTGTTAACAGTAACAGAATTTAAAATGACTTTTAATGTTTATTGTGCTGAAATGATGGATTGGTAAATTGACAGATAATTTACAGAAATTGGACAAATAATGTCAAAGGAAAAATGCCAAACATTTTGTTTTATGATCATAAATTGAAAATCATTGGGGTTTAGACTGCTGGCTGGAAAAGATGTGAAGGGCATTTCCCCCTCTTTTCTGTATATGATTAAGGATGCAGCTAATGATTATTGAATACAGATGTTTACAGATTTTTCTTGGTGTTACAACTCAAAATGTTTACCCTCCTGTATTATCCTGTGTTCCAGGATACCGATCTATCCAGAAACATACCAGGCAAAGTTAAAGTGTCAGCTCCAAACCTGCTGGCTGCCAAGAAGAAATGAGACACAAGTGACAAAAAGTGTTTACAGTATTCAACGCAGAACTGCCAACTTCATCCACATTTCAAACAGCTACAGGATCTGATCAACAGTGTTTGGATATGAATAATTTTATTCTGAAGATTGATTGTATTTGTTGACCAACAATTTGTTTGAAATGAAAATATGTAAATTAACAAAGCTGAACAGAACACATCTTATGGTATGTGTTTATTCTTTGAGTACAAATTAACAGTATGCATTGTATTCTACAATAAAAAACACCAAGGGAACATTGTGCAAACCAGGCAAATACAAACAAAGCCCTACTGGCATGAGGCATTTCAGTGCAACGTGGCTCAACATCCAATACACTCGCAGTATTTTAAGTCTTCGATGAAATAAAATTAAAATGCTACAGGAGCCACTCATGACAATGTAAAGGCTTTAGAAGCCACTGTCAGAACAAAGAACCCAGACATTTCCTCACAAATATATAAATTACTATATATACTGTATATATAAATAAAAACAAAAAATTAACATTTCAAATCAGAAATACTTCTGAGTTGTTATTTCTGTGGCTTCAGAGTAGACAGTCTTGCGTAACAAAGCACTAGTTTTAGGTCTGTGAGAATTTAAACTATCCAAGATCTAGCAAACACTGTTGAAGCAGACTTGTTTCAGCCTTGTACCACTTTATTTAGTGTTAAGACAGACATATTTTAAGCTGGTTCCATTTTGAGGAATTTCAACAAGTGACTGACTTAGGTGTTTGTTTAAAAAGGACAACTCTTATACCGTATACCTACAGGATGTATTATAATCCTCTGCAGGAAAATTAAGAGTTTCTGAAACACAAAGCTGAAGTCTTGCCTCCTTTCCAAAACAATATTTTTTCCCCATATGACACTATGTTTTCTCTCCCAGGGTTTCTTTCAGTGGTCTTTCTGAATTTAGTATTAAAACAAGCCCATCTGAAAAATTATGTATAGCGGTGAAGCAGAAACAAAAACTAACCCGAAAGTAGTGAAGTGCTTCTGATCCGATATGCTGTGAATCACCAGCACTGCTGCTCCACTAAAAAGGTTTACCGTCTTTGCAAGAGTTCAACCTAATAACAGAAATAATAAACAGCACTGAGGATTGCCTGTGAACCATTGTGTGCCAGTCAGGACCCATTTCCAACAGGTCCACAGCTGTTCACTATTGCTTAGAGATTTAATTTTTTATATGTATGCAAGTGTCCACACACATTAAACTAATGCTCTAGTAGGACTACCTGCTCATCTTGTCCGTACACACATATTCTCCTGTAATACTCTGGACTGGATTGATGGGTTTCCTCGTGGCCTAGGAGCCCAGTGTGTTGACGCGTGACATTCTCTTTTTGAGACTGTGCAGGAGGTGTTTAGGCAAGCAGTCCCAGTAACTGGACAAACGGTCCCTGTGCTGTAGAACGGCCTCCATACAGAACCTGGAACAGGCAAAATATGAGCGCAAAATAACGAAAGAACATTTAAATTTCAAGGGTAAAATAAGTTGTAGAGCATAGTCTTCGCTTCTGCACACACTTACCGAACTAGTGATTTGGGCTGAACGTTGAAAACCAGTAACTCGTTGCTGTGCGCCTGTCAAGTAAAAAAAATAATCAGTAATTCAGTAGAAAATCCTTTATGTATAAAAATGTGTCTTTATTAAGATATGACTTGCAGCTTACAGCTCTGTGGTTAGACAACAGGTTGTTGGCACATCCTCCAAACACAAACACTTCCCCATCCGGACCGGAGCACGCTGTGTGCCACAGTCTGAAACAACACAAAGTTGAGAACTCTATACATACAATGTGCTCACTTAAGGTTTTCACAAACAAACACCCACGCATGAGAGTGTGTCATTTAGCTTAAAACGTAATCACAGTAAGATGAGAGCATTACCTTGGTCTTTCTGTGTGACTGTGTTTGAAAGGCTTCCATTCATTTTTGCTCACGTAGTACAGCCAAGCATCGCCTGAAAAGCAGGTAACATCTTGAGACCAGCGATCATTTTGGGGCGGTTAGGATTATTTGCTACTGCAGAACAGTGCGTCAGACTCACTCAGCGTCTCTCTGTCCGTGGTAAAACCTCCAAATAGGAAGATGTGGTCTGGTGACACAGGAGTGAAGGAGTGCCAAGATCGTCCCACAGGACCCTGCTGGGGAACGCTCCTACAGCAAGCCAGGGAAAAAGGAACGTTACAACAAAAACAGAGTTGAGAGGACGCTCAAGGGCGGGATGTCACCGTGGAAGAATAATGGATAACTTTTTATGCAGGTTAGAGGATAACAGGATCAATATTGGGCATTATCCCCCTCTCGTTATAAAAGGTGTCCTGATATTAACTACTGTCTGAGATTATTCTGTAGTGAGACTTACATTTCATGCCACTCCCATGTGTCCAGGTCAATGTA